TACTTGTACATATCTTCATATTTATTTACTATACCATTTAATGTTGGATGACGAATAAGGCCCTTATCATACTTACCCTTAAAAGCTTGACATACTGGATTGACATAATCTTTTGTGGGAGACCGTTCGTATGTTGACATATAAATGTCTTTTTGTTTTATGATCATAGTATATGTATGTTTATACTTGTTTTTACAATTCTTGTAGAAAACATACAATTAAGAATAATCTTTTAAAGTGCCAACAGTATTTTCGTCTTTTAAATTTATAATTTTCTTTTATTTCTCTTTCTCTCATTTAGCATGTCTAGTATAAATAGTCAATAAACCTCAAAACAAACATTAGAAGTTTGTTCCTGACCCTGCTCATAGTTCCAAGTAATATCTGAATTATTTTTTGCTATTAAGATTATTTTTTGTAACAAAAAAAATTTTCCGGCGTGACATTTGTTCCGCTGGAACTTATTTCATAGGAAATATGTTCTACCGGAATTTATATCACAGAAAATTTTTACCCGGAATATATATTTTAAGAAAATATGTTCCAGCACTGTAAAATTTGTTCCGGAACTAATTTTTTTACTAAATGTTAAATAAGTTCCGGGTGTTATAGATTAACATGATGCATTAACTTTATATCAAGCAAAACATTCTATAGTTGTACCTGACAAGTTTAATATTCAACATTGAAGTCTTTAAACAACACGACAACGTTCAAAATAAGGTAAATCTTTGAGAAATTCAAATTAAGTCAGCATATATATTGTACGTAGATAATATGATTAAAAAACAAATGCACAACTATGATTAACAACTGCGATAAATATTTAAAACACACTATTTCATTTTTTGTCTCGCCTTGACGGAGTCAAAAAGCGAGACATAGGTATGCTGTTTCCGGCGTCGGCGGCGGCGGCGTCGTCAACAATGTATTAGTTTGTGATTAGGTCTAGTTTATGGCGAACCACAAGTGGTAGGTCAATCATATTTGGTATGCAGTTGTATTAGCATTGGTACATCTTATTTCCATGGAGATTATTTGGCTCCCTTAGTCATGGTCTATTCACTTTGAGAATTTTGCTAAGTTAACATGTATTAGTTTGTGATTAGGTCAGTTCAAGGGGAACCATTTAGGGTAGGCAAATGTTAATTGGTATTCAGTTGTATAAGCATTAGCACATCTCATTACCATGGAGAATATTTGGCCCCGCCCCCTCAGTCATTGTCTATCGACTTAGAAACTTTTGCTTAGTTTACATGTATTAGTTTGTGATTAGATCAGTTTAAGATGAACTGCTAATGTTAAGTAAACGATATTTGGTATGCAAATTTATTGGCATTTGCAAATATCGTTTCCATGGATATTATATAGCCTCACCCCCTCTTCATGGTTTATTGACTTTGAAACTTTTACATAGTTTATAAGTTAATGTTTGTGTTTAGGTTTGTTTAAAGGGAACGACTTATAATAATTCAATGGTATTTGGTATGCAGTTGTATTAGCTTTGGCACATTTCATTTACATGGAAATTGTTTAGCCATGTACCTCAGTCATGGTTCATTGACTTTGAATATTTGCATAACTTATGAAACATGTTAAAGTATTGCTATTTTAATTTCAACATTTGCATAATCAAAAATACAAAAGGATGAGACATATTTCTGTGATAACAGTTTATCTACAAATTCTGATATGAAGTAACATATGTTGAATTGCAATATTCATAAATAAATGATTGATCTATAAAAAATTTCTGACGGATTTTTCTTATTCTTCGCTTATCTGCCTCATTAAATTATTGTCATTTGGATATTTTTGTATGGATAATGTAATTAAACATTTTGCTATACTCCACAGAATCCATATTGGATGTTTACACCTTTTATTTATTACATTATCAATATAATACATGTTTTTATAATGTACTTGAATTATAACTTTAAGCTCACTGATAACAATGCTCAGTATATAAGATAACTTGTATAACCAGTGGAACATATTTCACAGACAAGGAACTTATTTCACCAGGTAAGGAACAAATCTCACAAACCTGGAACTTAGTTGTTTCATAAGCAATTCTTAATATACCACATCTCCTTGTGTTTACATAGAGGAAATTAGTCTGTAATTTTTATGACCACACATATAGGTTATCCAGTATAAATAAGTATATCTGAGCCGTTGCCTACAAGTCTAGTGTCGGAACAAACTTTTGGTTTTACTCCAGTATATATATAGTCCTTTATTTCTAGTTTTTATGAACTCGTTCAATTATAATATAACTGTGTTTTAAAGTTATTATTCAAAGTCTCTTTTAAATAAAACAACTTTTTATACTATTCAAAATTGAGAATGGAAATGGGGAATGCATGTGTCAAAGTGACATCAACCCGACCACAGAGCAGAAAACAGCAGAAGGCCACCAATGGGTCTTCAACACAGCGAGAAAATCCCGCACCCGGAGGCGTGCTTCAGCTGGCTCCTAAACAGACACCAAGTGATGGATACAATTGTGGCTTATATTGTTTAATTAATTTTTTAGAGCAAAAGATTAATTGATTGTTGGTTGCTTAACGTCCAGTGGCAAACATTTCATGCATATTCAGGACGACAAAACTTTTCAGAAAAAGATTATGAAGTACTAGGTATAACAAATGTTAAAATTTTCTCATCATTGACCTTTCAATACAATTTTGTTTATGATATGATCTTTCGTTGTCTTTCTATGGTTATGAAGTCATAAAGTATGTTCTATATATTCTAAGTTAGCATATCTGTACAGTTTGTCATTTTGACTTTTTTTTATTTTGCCATGGCGTTGTCAGTTTGTCTTTGAATAATAAGTTTGAATATCACTTTGGAAATGTAATTCCGCCTTTTTACAAAAATCATGAGATTCAAATTTGATAAGATGAAAGATTATATTTTAGACTAATACGTATGCACATCTGTACAATTTAATGAGATTCTTGATCGGGGGTAAACAATTCCTCTATCTAACAGAACAAGTATCGATTTGCATATTTGTTAAATTTAATGTCAGTGGTACACACAGTGGCGGATGGGGGGGGGGGGCGGATTTTGGACCCCCTTTTGTTAATAAGGACATACGGTTGGATCCCCTCCCTTTATCCTTGGTTGGGAACCCCAATTTAAAAAGACTGGATCCGCCACGTGCACTGTACACAGATTTAGTCCGCATTGTTTTCCGGGCAGAATAGACCACCACTGTTACTAATTTTTATAGTTGTAAATATTTACGCTAAATTTTGTTAATAAAGATAGGAACAGTTACAATTGTGTGGTCATAGATTTCGTAAATTTGTTTTCTGAATCCATATAGCAAGTGGCATGACATCATAATGGTGAATCGGGGAAATCACAGAAAGCTTATGGAATTGTTAGATTTTTTTTGATATATGACAATAGCGCAAAAAGTATCAAATATGTTTTAATAGAGAAAAAAAAATGACTGTAGCTGTAATAACTATATTTTTATTTGTTTTTAATTGTGTCGCTCTTTGATGACCACTTATGAAACCTGCATTTTCGTCTTTCATTCTTACGTACGTCTAGAAATTTACAGAACTCAAATTATGTATCTGAATAAAAGGAGTTGTCGGTTTTATTTACGTCAATTATATAGCAAACAAACCAAAAACAAAAACAAAAACCAAGAGACATCCAGAGAGCAAAGTGGATTTTTCGGCTTGCAGTACAAACTAAGCATAAGTATAAAGAACAGTTATATTATAACTATACCACGTCAAAAGTTTTCTCGTTCATTTCATTCCATAGTAGAGTGAAATGACTAACTTTCATTTGACCTTTAAAGAGGCAGAATTAGTTGACACAAATGTTATGCCTTTTTGCATGGCTGATTGTATATATTTATGTTGAACATGTTAAATTCAAGGCGATCTTGTAGCGAACGCACAACCCTATACTGTGTTTGGTTTTCTACGATATCTAGTTAAGAAAAAACTTTATTATCGGAGGGGTGAAACGAGCGAGAAAATAATATGTATTAGATACACATTAAGGGCGTTAGCCCGAATGAGCGCGTATTACTTACACCAAGATAAATTGAATATTGTCAATGCAGAATGACAAATTCAATAATTTAGGACAGGGACTTTCAATACTAACGGATTCCCTGTTAAGGAGGAGAATGCTGATCTTTTAACAATTTGACAATATGCTATTGAAATGCATGAAAAATGCAGGGTATCAAGTTTTATTTATCGACATCTTTGTGTAAAAAAAGATACAATTTTGCTAGATAAATAGAAAACAATAACACATTTCCTTGCATAATCTTATCTAAAATTATTGAAAATTATCATAATTTATGGGTATTGTTTTAACATGATACACCAAAGCCGAATTTTGTATGTTTGCATTACACACTTGCACTGTTTGGATTAACGTATCAATTAGAAGGTAGGTTAGAAAATCACAAAAAAAGAATTAAAGGACAAAACGCCATTATATGGTTTTCCGGATAATGTTTTTTTTTTTGGCAAATATTAAAAAAAAAATCTTAAACTTTTACATATACATAACATTTTAGGTAAACACCTAGAGTTACATATATACCAGCATACATTTTTGATAGGAAAAAAATGCTATCAAAGATACTTCAGAAATGCCTAGCTCCATGCCTAAGAAATATACATCTTTTTTATTGTTCACATTTATTTAACCTCCATTCAACAATGGGAAGGAACATTTGCCTCAGCTGTGAAATGAATTGATTTAAAACGACTTTTAACATATTTACTTCTGTCTTGTCAATATCTTAGCATAGAATATGATCAGAATATGGTCTGTGTAAACTACTTTGATATTAACGATTATATTTTGCGTCGATCGTTCCGCATTAGTACATGTAAAAGTTAAGTGAAAGTTTTAACAATATATTTGAACTGAAAGGTAATATAATAATTTCATAAAAAGGTGTTAACATTAGTGCAGGACAATTTCTTTTTTCCTTGTAGAGCAAAGTTTACCAGTATATTTTCGAAGGTAAGTCTTCATATCTAAAATATGTGAATATATGTCTTTGCCCTTTAGAAGATTCAGGAGGACACAATCATGATCATCATAGATGTAATATACATTTTAATGGATTGCACTTCAAATCAGGTCTAATGTGAACCCTAAAGTACAATTTGATATTTGGATTGAACAAGAATTGCTTTTTTCCTTAATTATAGTTTTCAATCAAACTATATTGTCTGAAATATCTGTAATTATAATATGTGTATTTGGTTGAAATTGTTGATAAATTTCAATACATATGATGATATTCAATACATGTCAAACATATCTGAAGCACACCCGTTTATTGTTTCAAAATTTAGTCATTTATCAAAATTGGTGAATCATGAATAAGTTGAAACTGATATGACTGATTCAATCGGTTTTATAAATTTAAACCATTTACTGATAAGACACATTAGATGCACCATATCAAGTTGTTTAACAAAGCACTAACAGTTAAAGTGTCTCTGCTGGTGAAAAAAGTCGGGAAAAATTGACTATAATCTTTAAAATGAAGCTATTCGCTATATAATATAAGACAATGTTCTTAATGCATACATGTTAATAGATTATAGTCAATTTTTCACGACTTTTTCACCATCAGAGACACTTTAACTGTTAGTGCTTTGTTAATAACTTCATGTTAGATACCAGAATTATAATTTTGTACGCAAGACGCGCGTTTCGTCTTCAAAAGACTAATCAGTGACGCTCAAATCGAAAAGGATAAAACGGCCAAATAAAGTACGAAGATGAAGAGCATTGAGGACCCAAATTTCCAAGAGGTTTTGCCAAATACAGCTTATGTAATCTATCCCTGGGATAGAAAATCCTTAGTAATTCGAAAAATTCAAATTTTTGTACAAAAGTCTCTTCTTCATATCATATTTCAGAGCATTTATAAAATAATAACAGAAATGTTTATATATAACTGAAAACTGCAATTGATGGATTTGGGCAAATTAGAAATCTGAAAAGTTTCAAAAGATCTTATAATCCAATCTGGATGTTAAGCAGCCAACAATCAATCTACCAATCCAAAAAATAGAATTCTATGAAAAGCGAATTTAAGTCTCATAGACACACATTGTATTTGGTTCCAGAAATCATTCAATGAAAATAAAATGAATAAAAAAATTGTTATTCAATAATACGGTTACGAAATGTAGCTAAAAAAAGTTACAATTTGCAAAGAAAAAATATTTCTTTTATATTCATATTCCTGTAAATTTTATCAATTAACTTAATAATATGTTCGGTGTGGGTGGTTAGAATAAAGATGGAACTGGTAAAACCTCTTTTTGTATAATGGTTAATTTGTTTCATTTGCCATAAGGTGTGTATGTCATTGATTGATAAAAACATTTACGATTTACTTCACCACCCCCCCCCCCCCAAACCCCCTCAAAAAAAAATTACAAAAAAAATAGTAACCTCCATTGACAAAACCCTTTAATAGATTTATAAAACTTTTAATTAAAAGTTACTTAAGGTATTTGCTGCGTTTAGTATTTTTTCGTTGTAGTTAAGTAATTTCTTTTTTAAAGTTATGGTTGGCAATATTATTGATTATCCTTTAATCGTATTCTCCTAACTTAACGAAATAGCGGCGTAATTGTGCATGCAAATTGATACTTCATATACATTTAAAACTCGGTTTTCCGTGGACCTCATGGGAAAAGTTTTAAATCTGATATTGAACGTACCTTATAAGGAAATGCAAATTACATTCAAAGAAGCACTGAAAACTGATCTGATGATCCCAATAGCATTAATGTAAGGTTTACTTAATGTAACAATTATTTCTATATATAACTTACCTGACCTTGTTTTTAGATATATTAGATCAGTATCTGTGAAAGAATAGCACCGACAAACAAGATAGTATTATAGAACATAATTCAAAATGCACCAAGTATTAACACTATTGTTCCTACCGATTTAGTGTCCACAAATTTATGTTCTTCTACGAACTGAACACCACGTGAATTTACATTTATTGAACAAATTGTTTGTCAATACAATTTTTTTCTAATCTTGCAATTATATTAACGACAATTACTGCTAAATATTTTGACTGTAAATTTCTACGTTGACAATTTGTAAATTATTGACTTATATCTTACGTAGAATGGCGAACGCTTATTTAATGAAGAAATGGACAAGACTGTATAAAACTTTTGATTTAAACAAAGACGACGTCTTAACAGTTGATGATGCCAATTTGTTTTCGTAAGTATATTTAGAGTATGACTGCACACAAATGTAGTTATATATTGTTTGTAAATAGAAAGATGAAAAACTAACAAATTTTGGCATAAATACAAATAAGTAGATGTGGTATGAGTGCCAATGAGACAACTCTCCATCCAAGTCCCAATGTGTAAAAAGTAAATGGCTCACATCGAACAGCAAGCTAAAAAGGGCCCCAAAATGACGAGTGTAAAACTATTCAAACAGGAAAACCAACGATCTATTCTATATAAAAAACGAGAAATCAGAAACATTTATGAACCACATCAACAAACGACAACCACTGAACAACAGGCTCCTGACTTAGTAGGACAGGTGCAAACAAATGCAGCGGGTTTAAACGTTTTAACAGGCGCCATAAAGATTGTTTTGGCTTAAAAATTAATTGAAAGTATTATCAATCTATTTCCTTCAAAAAGTTTGCATTTTGTTATTCTCTTTCTTTAATAAACTCTGAGGTTGCTGCCTGTTTATATCTCTTTCCTTACTACAGTCTGAGAGTATTGCCTGTTGATAGATTGGAAGTCCGTTGCCTATAATTCACTGAATCTGATATTTACAATAATTGATGTGGTATCTAAACATAAAAAAAGGAAAATGGTTCTTATTTGCAGAATGTGGTATTTTGGGGCAACTGCAAAAGCGTCAATTAACCTCTTAATTTGCGAAACATTTTTAACTATTTGTGTTCTGTTCTAAAGGTTTCATATGATATTTTGAAAATTGTTATCATAAAAAAAACTAAAATATGGCATTTTGTTTCATTATAGCAATATTTTAGAATGTTTAATCTCGATTTAATGGAAATTGCACTGTACTATATTTTTAGGACCGGACAAAAAACAGAAACTACATTCTGCAAACAGAAACTACAGATAATAAGCTTTCGACTGATATATAATATAGCCGTGTGTTAGATGGGTGTATTCAAGTCCTTAACTAATAGTCCTTTTGAAAAATGTCTCTCGCCTAAATACCCCCGGATATTAATTTAAAATTGAGACATGAATTTTCGAAAATTAGAAACTTTCAATAAGTCATTGACAGAAATATAAAGAAGCAATTGTGACAGCCTTTGAGAAAACTTTTTGAAAAAGCGGAGAAGAAATAAGTTCAAAGGGACATTTTGAAAATGTATTGATATATCAAAAACATATAATAAAAAAAACTTTGTCTATATACTGTATATTCACGTTTAGATAATATTTTTATAACGAACCTCTTCATGCAATTGAATACAGGTTTGTCCGAACATTAAGTTTTGTTGTAGTTTTCTGTAAATTGTAATATTCTTAGGACTATCAGGAATACTCTTTAATATCATTGACGTCTGAAAAGTGCATTACAGTGTGTATATATGTCATTTTTGTAGATTTATATGCAGAAAAAAATTAACAAATTAAGAACAAATAGTGTAATAACTCTCTAATTTTTTGTCCTATGTACATTACTAAAGGAGGATAATATGTACTTACAGATATTTTTGTTCAAAAGAAAAACATAGTTTAAAAGAAACATTTTTTTTTTCAAATACAATGTTAGTTTAAAAATGCTTTTAATCAATGTAATATTAATCGGAGTAATAAACATGTAATCGTGCAAGTGCGTATCGTTTTAATTGAGATATAACAAAGACATAAAATGAGAATGAGTTATCAACTATAGTATAGTATATCTTAATATATATATAAACAAGTCTAAATTGAAAACAACGTTCAAACCTATGATTGCGTTGGATAAAAACCGCAATTTTTATACGTGTGCATGCAAAACAAATTTCTTGTTAGAGGGGTCTAAATACAGCACAAACAACATTTTCCAATAGACCAAAAAAGTGAAAAAGTATATTTTAACAAAACGCATTTGACTAACAGGTCGAACAACAAATGTTCTTTAACCCTGCTGACTGCCATTGGCGATTGCCAAATAAACGGATCACCGATGTAATAAATGGATCTTAATTATAAATTTAATACTAAACAGAAAACAATAAACTTGCGGAAAAGATGATATACCGCAAACAAAAGGTGCAAAGGTTTTAGTACACCATATCCGGATTTCGACAATTAATATCTCTTCAGTGATGTTAGGAATCGAAACGGTATTTGGAAAGCCATACAATTTACCTCAATTTAGGATAGACTCTTGAATTTTGAGGAGTCAAAATAGGATGAACGGATCATATAAACCCGAAGGTAAATATTATACAAGCCCAAACGAAAAAATATAAACAAGTCTAAATTGAAAACAACGTTCAAACCTATGGTTGCGTTGGATAAAAACCGCAATTTTTATACGTGTGCATGCAAAACAAATTTCTTGTTAGAGGGGTCTAAATACAGCACAAACAACATTTTCCAAAAGACCAAAAAAGTGAAAAAGTATATTTTAACAAAAGTATATTTTATTGTTTTCTGTTTAGTATTAAATTTATAATTAAGATCCATTTATTACATCGGTGATCCGTTTATTTGGCAATCGCCAATGGCAGTCAGCAGGGTTTAAGAACATTTGTTGTTCGACCTGTTAGTCAAATGCGTTTTGTTAAAATAAATATATATATATATATATATATATATCAGTGTTGTATTTATTGCATTGGCTGTTACAGGGATAGATTTATTGAAAGCAACAAACTGAAGGGTGAGCAGGCCACAGAATTCAAGACAAAATTTTTAAATTGGTTTCGAGATTTTCTCCTGAAAGGAGAAGAGAAAATGACAGAGGATGGATTCGTTAAAAAGATGAGAGAGGAATATCAAAAAGACGGAAAAGAATTTGAGAAATCCGTCAGAAAGGATATGTCTGTATTGGTATCGATCACAGATGTTAACAAAGATAATATGATATCCAAAGAAGAGGTTAGGGAAGCACTGAAAGCAATGGGATTGGTTACCTTTGATGAGAAGTATTTTAACGCATATCCACAAATTAAACCAGGCTTCATAGAAGCTAATCTTTTTTTGCAAAGTTGGGTTGAGTATTGCTGTAACAGCGACGATAGAGATGTCAGTAATTTGGAGAAAGCTCGTCTGTATGGATTTAGAATGATTGATTCTATTTAAGGATTCAGTTTCTTTCATTATTCAATTATACGTAATAAGAATTAACACTGTATCACTTACCTGTCTGTATAATTTGTTAAACTTTTTGAATGCAAACTCTTCCATACTCCCATGGCATTGTCCCTTCTCCATTTTCAGTTCCAAGAAATGAAATGTTTTCGTAAATACCTGTTTTTGCAAATAAAACAGAGTCTATTTTGTATAGCCCGAGTTTATCTAATTTTTTTTCAGGATTGATTACTTTGATTCTGAGCATAGAGAGCCAAGTAGGTTTTCTTATTGTAGATCATTTCTTTCTATGGATGTTCTTACCTAAAGTGTTGTATTTGGTGTAATCAAATACACATTTGCAGAAATCGTATGCTCCTCACCGGAAAAACACCGGAAAGATAATGTTCTACCTGTTAATGAATGTTTTGAATGCAGTATTATATAGAATCAAATGGACCCTGAGATCGCCCCAATTTAAGGTGGGTTTCGTGTTGCTCAGTCTTTAGTTTTCTATGTTGTGTATTGTGTAATGTTGTTTGTCTTTTGGTCTTTTCTTTTTTCTTTTTTTTTTTTTTTTGTCATGGCGATGTCAGTTTATTTTCGACTTATGAGTTTGAATGTCCTTTTGGTATCTTTAGCCTCTCTTTTTTATACCTTTTCTGTACGGTACGGGACCATACAAATTTTACTTATTTAAAAAAAGCGGTAGTGGTATGACTGCTATCGAGACAACTACCCACCAGAGACCAAATGATTTCGATGTTAGCATCTGAAGGTCGCCTGTCTTTAATAATGAGTAATATGAGACAGGCTTCCGAAGGTAATATTGATTACGAATTTTGTTCTATTTTTTATTTTTTTTATTCTTTTATTTCTATATCATTCCATCATACTTTTTTGGCAATAAAATATACAAATTTGCGGGAAATTGCATGATACTTTTTTTGGTTTAATCAGTTAAAAATTTGAGGGAAATCGTATGCTCCTATGTGAGGTAATAGGAACAAAAACCGCAAAGGTTTTTCATCGGCGTCATGTTGTTGAAAGTCTTTCGAGACCATGGTATATAGACTCAAATCGACCTTTATATCAGTAGTGCTCCTTTCAGGATCATAGGAATAATTTGCTTCCCTTAAAACATATTTGATTGTTAAATTAAGTAATACTGCAAGGAATGAAGCTCATGTTGTCTTCTTTTTTTACAAAAGTTGATATATGACATAAGACAGTTGACACAAAACTCTAGCACAATGTGATATGGCTGCTTATACTGTCATTTGAGGAAAAGGAATTTCAATATCGAATTGATTGCATGGTCGTCCTTTCGAAAATGTTCACTGTTCTAAATATGCAATCGCAGCCAAGTCCATATATGAACATACCAACATTGAGAGTGTCTTTTCTAAAGCAACCAAGGTACTTTTTTTCAGAACAGCATAATTAGAAATTGTCGACATCAAATTTGACCTATATTTTGTTATCAGAAATACCATTTTAAAATGTCTTTAGAATCAATTGAACGTTTTTTAAGTTATAGCACAGAAACGACACAAAGCGACATGTTTTAATCAATCAAAGACCTTAACTGAACTTTTGATATGAAATTTTTGGTCTTCAGTGCTCTTCAACTTCGTGCTTTATTTGTCCTTTTTAACTTTTTTTATTCGAACGTCATTGGTGAGTCTTTTGTAGATGAAACGCGTGTCTGGCGTTCAAAATTTTAACCTGGTATCTGTGTTGAGTTTATTTGAATGACACAATCGAAGATCATCAAACTCAAACTTTTTTGTTGTAAATAACTACATAATAAAATTTGTTATATGAAATATATACAAGAAAGGTAAAAGATATAACTCGAGACCATCTTGTATTATTTGTGAAGTAGACTTTGAATATTTATCTATTAGGTTTTGGTACTTTCCGACGAACTTTAGGAGAAAAAGGACCTGACGTTCTTTGACAAAACCGTGGTTCATTAATTTTTTCCTCAGACACCGATGACGTTTTACAAAGTGTTAGTAGCAGATGCAAGCTCTTGAATATCGTATGAGTTGGGAAATGTATACTTCATACGCAGGTGAAGTTGGTATATCACTGCTAAGGTGAGGAAAACATTATACCAATAAGGAACTGTGGTTAAATGCCAACGACACAACTATCAAGCAGAGACATATTGACTTTGATTTAATGCGCATCTGTTGCAGAAAATTTGGTACCGTTAATGTTATAACATTATGTCGATGAACGGCTAATAAAAGTTCCGACATAACAAAATATAAATCAATCGAGAAAACAGTCAAGCTTCCAAACCAAATCTTTGTATCTGTAAAAGAATTTATTAAACGTTTTAGCAGGAGACGGTAACCCTGATGACGTCATCCGGCAAAACTAGTATCAATGTAATGGAATAGTATACATTTATTCCCCGTGCCTGAGGGAGATATGAAGATTTTTCACCCAAGAAAATCGTATTTCCCGAAGGCATTGTGTGAACCAATAACTAATTTTATATTTCAAAACTATCCGAAGTTTTTATAATTCTTATACCTAGTGCAAACAGATCCGCTGAAAGAAATGGGGGATATTTTTTCGAGAAAAAAGTCACTGAGGTCCAATATATGATCATTACAGTAATAATGGAGAACATTGTTTGCTTTTGATGATCACGAAAATTTCGGAAAAGGAATTTTATTCTTAAGTTGCTGATATATATTCTGGTGGTTGTTTATCTACTCTTTGGTCGGATTGTTGACTCTCTATATTCTGGTGGTTGTTTATCTACTCTTTGGTCGGATTGTTGACTCTATATATTCTGGTGGTTGTTTATCTACTCTTTGGTCGGATTGTTGACTCTCTGATGCATTCATCCTTTCCATTCTCTATTCTATGATGCTTGATACTGCATAATGAATACATGACAACTCGGACCAAAGACAAGTCGGACCAAGACAACTCAGACCAATCTTGAGACAACTCGGACCAATTTAAAGGACAACTCGGACCACTTTTCAAGACAACTGGGACCAGTAAAAAAGACAGTTCAGACCACTTATGAAGGCACAGAAAAGTTTGAAAGAATGTCGTAATGGAGGTACCTTCATGACGAATAACGTTTAAAATCTTGCCAAATAACGTTAACGGTACTTTTATCTGTTTTTGACATACTTTTTAGGACGTCACGATAGAGAGACATTTTGAACTTTGGTGGATAGTTGTCTCATTGGCAATCATACCACATCTCCTTATTTTAATATTAGTGAAATAATATGAATAATGTTCATCGTTAAAATAAATTGTTAACCTATCATTAAATCTAAAATTGGGTTCACATCCGTGTACTTAAACATATAACCTTTAAGAATATTCACACGGAATTATTGGGGGTCTGTACTTTGAAATGTTTGAATTAATTTCAAATGTAATACATTCTGGAGGGTCTGGATTAGGGGGGTCTTTAATTTCTTTATTATTTAAAATTTTAGGGTATTTTTCTTTATCTTTAAAATAACGCTTATTCTGTAAGATTCTCATGAATTTTTTTTTTTTTTTTTTTTTTGCTCATTTTTCTGTATTCATTATATCTTTTGGTCATTATTCTGTATTCTGTAAACCACATGCAGACCCTCGTGTATATGTATAATGTAACTTCAGTTACTTTTATTTTAAAAACAAACAACGAGGAAACGATGCAAAGGGTGCATTAAAAACTCGACAAATATACAAACAAGAGTCCACAAAAACTCCACAGAGAAACACAGATTTCATTTCTTCTCCATGACGACAAAAAAAACATGCAGCTGATTTTGATGATACACAGTATATTGGTAACGGTTAAATGATTAAGCCCTCGGACGAATCATGATAAGGATAGTTTGACGAATCACAATATAATTTTAATCAAGTTAATCGATAGTCGAAAATTACCATTTGACGCCTGAGATTAAAAAGCATTCCAACTCACTTGAAAGACTGCTAGGATCACTTATTACAACACGTAGGCAAACTGGGATATGGAAAAAAATGAAAATATAACTGTATTATATTTTCATTGCATGTAAAAATATTTGTTGTTTTATTATTTTTATGGATGTATCTGTTCATGCAACTGTGTTTTCTCATAAATGTAAGAAAAAATGTAATTTAGCCACTATGGCTACTTTCGTAAAAATCATCATGATGTCTATTTTGATCATATACAACTTTAAGTTACTATTGCTATTTCAAACACATGATATGATACCGTCAGTTAACTCATTAATTGGCAATAAAAACAATTAGACTAAATCAATTATTTTCAATAAAATTATGAGATGATCATCGGATCCTAATTGATCATTAGGCCGTCATAAAATCATTAAAAGTAACAAAAATATGGTAAAACAAACAAGCTTATTAAAATGTATTAAATGGAAACGTTGTCACACCAAGTTAAGATTGTCAGTTAGGGGAAACTGAGAAGAAAGAATTCTACACAAAACAAACAAAAATCATATTAAACGTAAAAGCCATGAAGAGTCACTGGTCTGACAAATGTTTCAAACCATTCCGTGTTGTCAAACTGGTCCGAGTTGTCTTTCAAACTGGTCCGAGTTGTCTTTTAATTGGTTCGAGTTATCTTGTTCCGAGTTGTCTTTGGTCTGAGTTGTCCTGATTTCTGCATGGAAAAGGATAAATCTATTATTATATCCTTAAAATATTGTAGCAATTTGTTCTACCAATCATACCACATCTTATTATTTTTACATGAAATTACACAAACAACTGCCACCAGTTAACAAAAAAGGGAGCAGTCTCAATATAATTCAGAGGTCGATGTCTATCACATTTGTTTTAGTTTATTGTTTTGAACATAAATTAGACCGTTTGCTTTTTCGTTTGTATTGTTTTTTTTACATTTTTTCATTTAGCGACCTTTTATACCTTACTATACGGTATGGGCTTTTCTCATTGTTGAAGACAGTACGGTGATCTATATATAGTTGCTTACATCAAAATCATTTGGTCTCTGGTGGAGAGTTGTCTCATTGACAATCATACCGCATCTCCTTATTTTTACATGAAGTTACACAAACAACTGTTTGCACAGTACAACAAACATATCATGTCAGATTAAGCACCTAAAAAATCGATTTACCATCCATATATACCCAACTGAATGCTCCATATAGATAAATTTTTAAAAATCCAGAACTATTTGCAGAAAAAAGACATTG